TAACTTAGACCACTTTTCGTTTTTTTAACAAAAAGCCCCACAACTCAAAAACTATTTGACATAGAAAAATTTTGTCAATGGGCATTAAAGGCCTAATACCGAGGCTACTCAACACAATAGAAAGATTTGAAAAGTTTGCATATCTAATAGGTTAAAAAATTAAAAATGTGACCCACAAAAAAAAAAGCTTTTATTTAAAGCCTGTCAGAGTACCCCCTCCAATTTTTTTATTTTTTGGTTAAATAACTCCAGGTTTTGATGCATTGTAGTAGAACTCTTCTAGTTACATAGGTACGTATGCAAATGACAAATTTAGGAAAGTGTCATAGTTTCATGAGGGTGCCGCCCCCAAATGGGGTAACTTAGACCACATAATGTCAGCCCTTACATAGACCGGCTTGGAAGTTAATATAAAATTACCATATATAACATATTTTATGTTTGACAGCCTATTTATGTTTTTTCTTTATGTTTCAGACTCTACAGAATCTTATATATGGTAATTTTAACTTAATTTCCAAGCCAGTCAATATTACCCTACCAGGGCTGCCATTAGGTAGTCACATTTCCCTCATTATGGGGCGGTGCCCCCCATTTGCAAACTATGACACTTTCCTCAAGTTTGTCATTTGCATATGTAACTAGAAGAGTACTACAATGCACCAAAACCTGGAGTTATTTTACCAAAAAATATAATTGATTTTACCACCCGGTCTAAGTTACCCCAACATAAAGACTATGAGAGGCAGGAGCCAGCAATTTATGGTGAGTGAAGCTAGAGTATAGACCTGTATTTTGCATGTTTCAATTCAAGTTTAATTTAGCTAGTAAAATAATGGCATCATTTATAAAAAAGTGGTCTAAGTTACCCCATTTACAATATACCCCTTGGTAAATACCTCACTGCATCCTATATCTGAGAGTGACTTCAAGGTTTTAATTTTCACTTCCAGTTCCAGTGCTTTGCATTTGTGTATTTTTGAATATTTTTTAACGGAAACCTATTGGAAATTCAGCTCTTAACTCTTACCTATTTGTAATTTCAAATACCGTCAAACGGGGTAATATGCAGGGTTCGTACCGGTCATGAAGAACCTCATTGGATTGGAAAATCATTGGATTTCATTTCAGGCTGTGGAAACTGGAAAGCCAGGGAATTTGCAAATAAAAGAAGGAAAAAAGGAAGTGTTTTTCTGTGCTGCATGAGTTTACTGTTTGTGCAGTCTCTTGTTGCCTGCGTTCTGATTAGTTCTCCAATCACTTACCCATCAGTCACGTGATTGGAGAACTAATCACGTGAGCTTGGTCACCTAGCTTAGTTGCATCTGACAACTTATTGTTGTGCTGTGGCTGCGTTCCACCTTCAGTGTGCAATTTCTACATCGCCATGCCTGGAAATTGTAAATTTCATGACTTGTGGTTAAGAATTGAAGCTGATCGTGACTTGCTTGCTTTCCATCCAAAGCATGAAGGTATGGAGATATTATGTACATTGTGCTTGAAAGACTTCGATGTGTCAAATATATAATTTGAAAATTACTGTTAAGTTCAACGCCATGAGGCGATCTTTGAAATCAAAGCAACAGGAGCTAGACACTCATGAACTGAACATTAAAGAAAAAGTTGATAAAACAGCTGCCAGTTGAATGTTATGGTACCGTCAACCGGGGCTACTCGGGACAAGCGGGGCTACTCGGGACAGGCCTCCGACACGTCGTAAAACTGTTGTAGTAGCGAAACTAATTGGAATATTGCCAAACTAAAAATAGTGGCGTAAACATCAACATTTTTCCTATCTATGTAGTATAAAGGAAGTCGAAAAATACTACATTTACTTGCTTTGAAAAATTCCTGAAAAAAATGGTGAAAAACTATATTTTGTAAAGTTACAACTGCTAAGGTATGCAGCAAAAAAAATATTCGCCGTATTAAAAAATTTGACTTACATAAAAGTTGCACCCAGGTGTGGGCTTGAAAACGTAATTGACAGAATTTGCCTATCTCATTCCAAAAAGAAATGGCAGCCATTTCCGCACGGCGGGGCTACTCGGGACACCCCCCCGGGGCTATTAGGGACACCCCCAAAAATGCATTTACGGTAGAACCTCAGTTAGCAAAGGCTCCAGTTAAGAACAAATTGATTAAAAACAAAGAATATTGATTACATTTACCTCACTGAGCGAAAAAAAGTTCACTTATCATCACACAAATTACAAGCCGTCCTGTATACTTACAGATACAGAAAAAAAATTCTATAAGGCTGCTGATGTGAAGCTTGCAGTGTACAAGGTTGTTGTAAATGCTTAATGGCATGTTCATGGATATGGTAATATCCCATCAATAATACAGTAATATCCCATCAATAATAGGGTACTGTCAACTGGGGGATTCTGGCGCGTTCATAATGATGGCCAAAGCGGGGTCATAAATGGTCATAAACAATGGCCAAAGTCACTCCGGCGTTTATGACCTGGTTTACAACCCTGGCGTTTATGACCCCGCGTTTACGACCCCAGCATGAATCAAAAACGAGGCTGAAGTCACCCCAGTTGACGGTAATTAATGTTTTTGGTAATATCATATCAATAAAGGAAAAACAAGTAAAAATCACAGAAAATGTCATTTATTCTACCTCTACATGGTCTACAATGAAAGAGGAGGACTTCAGAGTGCTGTTAGTAATGGATGAGTACGCTCTGCATGCTTCAAATGTTTTGAAATGAAGTTTTATTCCCATTGTCCCGAGTAGCCCGGACCGACAGGGCTACTCTGGACAATCTTTATTTTGCGTCTGGCACCTTAGGAATAGCATATGGAATTTTTTTGACAATGCCATTCGATAGCCCTGGCAAAGAGCTATAAAATGAGCTTAAATTTGTTTATGAAATGTTTCATCATAAGAAGTTATTAACAGTTATTAACAAAAAAAACGATCAAATTTGTCCCGAGTAGCCCCGGTTGACGGTAGTGGTGTTGAAGAGTGTTCTGAACTGTATTGACCAGACATTAGCATGTACAATCTTGTGTGCATTACTCAATATTGGTTGTGATTTGACACTATTGAATTCATAATAATAAAAGTGTGGGCTTGATTTTTAGATTTGTATCATTTCTGTTCCTCTGTGTCTGTCTATGCATTTACGTGTTTGCTATTTATCAACTGTAGAAGATGATAGAATATGCACAGTTAGTCTTTCAGTCATGCTAAACCTGTTGTATATGATTCTTGGAAAATTACATTGATGGTCATGGAAAAGTCATGAATTTTTTTCTAAATACCGGTACGAACCCTGAATAAGGGACAGGCGGTGTAAATTGGGACAGTCCAATAAATTTTACTTGCACAGAGGTGTTGGCTTAAAAAACGTAACCGAGAGAATTTGCGTAGCTCATCCCCGCCAAAAATGACTGCTTAAGATGGGATATAAGGGACACCCCCTAGGGTGATAAGGGATACATCTAAGAATGCATGTACAGTAGAACCTAGGTTAGCAAAGGCTCCAGTTAACGAATAAATTCAATCAACTACAAATAATTTTGATTATATTTACCTCGTTTAGCAAAATAAATTTTTGGTCATTACAAATTGTGCATAGAATGTCATATAAAGATTGTGCACTGGGCAATATAGAATGAAAAGTAATTAACATTAACTATGATTTATTTACACAAAAATATGATAGGTAGTTGTCAATGAAATATTCCTTTATGTTTCAGGTATGTTATTTACAATTTTTTTTGTATAGTGAATTCACTTGACCCAATCAAAATGGTGCAATATTATCACTTATCAGCATACCTGTTAGCTTACAGATATAAAAGAAATGCTATATGTCTGCTGATGTGAAGCTTGCAGTGGATAAGGTTGTTGTCAATGTGCAGTGGCATGTCCTTGGATACAGTAATAGGTATTACATCAATAACACGGTAATGTATGGATATGGTAATATCATATCAATAAAGGAAAATCAAGTGAAAATCATAGGAAATGTCATTTATTCTACATCTACAAAGGAAGAGGAGGACTTCAGAGTACTGTTAGTTATGGATGAGTAGTACTCTCTGCATGCTTCAAACGTTTTAAAATTAAGTTTTATTTCAAATGTCCATAATTACCCCATTAGGGGGTAATTATCCTGCTCCCAGGGGTAATAATTATAATTATCCCACTCCCAGGGGTAATAATTATAATTATCCCGCTTCCAGGGGTAATTAGGGACAGTTTTATTTTGCACCTGGCACCTTACCAATAGCATATGGAATTTTTTCAGAGATACCATGCAATAGCCCTTGCAAAGATCTTTAAAATGAGCCTAAACTTGTTTATGAAATATTTCATGGTAAGAAGTTATTAACAAAACAGGCTCAAAACCGGCCCTTATTACCTTGTTTGATGGCAGTACTTCAATTTTACCTGCTTTTTTGTTAGCTTTGTCTTTCATTTGTAAATTTCAATTTCTTTACTGTACTAACTGTACCTATTCTATAATTTTTGAACTAATGATGGAGCTGGACTCTGAAACATTTTCTATGCTGTAAAGATATAAATTTTGGTGCTATTTTCTTTGCTCTTATATTTCTATTCAATATCATGTAGTATTGAATGAGTAAATTTTAAAGGAAACTATCAATATTTGATCTGTTTCACTTACATTTTATGTGTTGACCAATAGGGGGAAATGCTGTAGCATGGAATGATTGGCAGAAAATTGTATATTTCCAGTGGCATGCTAAGATAGCCCCAAACATCAAATTGAGGATGTTTTGGTTAATTTTGAGTGGATATTTTAGGTCACCATGTACTGTAACTTGCCCACTAAAATGTACAGGCTATTTAGTGCATTTTCTTATTTATGGAAAAAATGTGCTATTCTGCTTGTCATGTCCATGTCTGTCTTGCCTGTCTGTCCGTGACTACACAGACGGACGGATAAGAAAATGCACTCTGTCACTCACTGCAGTGAGTACTGATCTAATTTTTTATGCTTCTTGGCTATACCTATATTACCTTGTCATGACAGAATCTGCAGTGAACCAGTGAGCACTATGCATCCAGTGATAAATGTCAAAAACTTTGAGCGTTTCTCTTCTATATAATGTCTGTTTCTAAGCTGGTCAAAGCTTAAATCTGACAGGTTAAATAAAAAATGTAACAGGTATTTGATGCTTGGGTTTTTTTTTTATTTCAGTAAAAGTACAGAATAGTTTTGATACATAAAAATCCCATCTTTATTGTAATTTTAGAAACATGTTGAATTACATAGCAAGAGTTGCATCCAGTACACTATTAAACTGCTCAAGATCTTCAGCATGTACTTGGTCTCACCTCAATAATTTCTCAGGAATTTCTAAACAGGTGAGGTAATTTTTCTTCTGCTATTTATATTAAAAATTTCAACATTTTATTCCTTACATGTATGAGTAAAAATTTAACTAGTTGGCAGTTTTCAGTTCAAATGAATATATTAATATGTTCAAGCTTGATATCAATTATCATTATTACATAAAAAAGTTACTTGTTTTTAACATGGATTTTGTTTCAGCTTCAAGACTTGCAGTCGTTGAGCAGTCCAGTGCTGCTGACAAGACTGCATGTGAGTGCTCAGCTCAATGTCAACAATGATGGCTTGAAGTACCCACCTTATGATGAGGAAGTTTCTGCATTTCATCGTCACAACCTTAAGAAATATCCACCACAACAGCCAGGGGAGCCTCCAAGACCAGCTGTAAGACATGTTACTTTTTCTCTTTTGGGAGTTTTTGATTAAACTTGCTGGAAGTTTACAGGAAGTGCTAAAAACTTTATGTGAATATATTTGTTGAAAATTGTTTTATGACGAATTTGATGAAATATTGCTTCTCATGTCCTTGTCTTCAGTATTCATATTTCAGTATTCAATGCTTCCTATAACTGAAAATGAATGTTGTTACATTCAAAATGTCGTTAACAAATTAAAACTACTTCCTGAAACATGCATTTTGATCAACCAACGTCCTCTGAAGAACTGTTCCTGACACTGAAAATTTAAATCAATGAATTCTCTGGTCATTAACCGCCCTAGTTGAAAAAAAAACCAATTCTGCCATCTAATACTAATATAAGTATTTATATATAGATAGTTTAAACGATCGTATGAGTATTAGTAATATTAATATTTGATGGTACAGAATGAAAGTCGTTGGAAATATTAGCATTCTGTATTATATTTGTACTAGGTATCTATTTTTCTGTGCAGTTTGTGTGCCACGAGAAGCGCAACATCAAATACTACCCAAAGAAAATGGAGGTCGTTGCTAGGTTCATCCGAGGCATGAGTATAGAAGATGCAATCAATCAACTTAAATTCTGTCCTATGAAAGGTAATTACCTCAATAGCGCTGAAACGTGAACTGGGCGCACCTTGTCATATTTGTTCTCATTGATGTGCCTAAAAAACTTGATATGCCTACTTATGATATAGTCTACATCATAAGTTGATATAGCGTGACTGGAATATTGTATTCACCACTCGCTCAGTAAGGGCTGAGGAGCTCACTGTAGCTTATGTAACTCTTCATTACGTGTACATCTGTTGCTGCAGGTGCAGTGGATGTTCTCGAGACTTTATTGGAGGCGCAGAAGATGGCGGTCGAGGAGCACAACGTGGAGTTTGCTTCCAATCTCTGGGTTTGTGAGTATCCTTGCATTAGGGATGCTATAGCGGAGTTTGGAATTTTATCTTTTTTCCCACTTGATTGTCTATGTTATGATTCGTCTTCCGACCAAAAAATGATTTTTGTCGAGTGATTTCTGTTGTGAAATCTAAATAATGGTTGAAATGAGTTCTCACGTCATGATGAATGCCGAAATTTAGTTCTAAACCGAAATGAAAAGATTTCAATTTTACTTCTTTAAAATTTGTGATGAAAATTTTAAATTTTTTAAATTAAGGATAAACGGCAGCTCAGTGTCGTAGTATTAATACTCCAATACAGTCTTCGACCTCTTTCAGACTTAAAGACTCGATCAAAATTCAAAACTATAAGACGACGACCCTCTACCGCCTGACACGAGTAACCGGAGCAATATTGTCACAAGCCTACTTCTCAAAAAGGATACGTTATAGTGAGCGCAAAATCGCTTGCACTGATGGTTGCCGCCACGTACGACAATTTTAAAACGTTCTCTGTTGCATACAAACCTCCTCGGTCGATTGTTTTAGGTATAATTTAAGTAGAAAATTATGTTCCCGGAGAGTGACATACGGCGGTAGAGGGTTAAGTCGTAACGAGTAAAAGTACATATGAAACTTGCTCGAATGTAGCATACTCGAAATTTTACTATTTTGCAGCGGAATCGTTCTGTCTTAAAGACTCGGTGATCAAAACTATAAGACGACACTCGAAGATGCGCATAGGAGTCGTCAAGCATCGCTACGTGCATTACTGCTGCACCTTAGAAGAAGGCAAACCGCCCGAGCACTATTACCACTACAGACGACCTCTCCAGCCTCAAGAACAGCTCGAAGAGTGGTTACAGGAAAAAAGGGATCGAGTAATTCCGTACGGATTATAAGTAAATCCTTGGTGAGTGGATCTTAGGAACTCTAACAGCCATAATTGTGTTAAATGATGGCCAACTTTGAAGTGATAGTCTCAATTATTTAGTAATATTATCAGCATTTAAATTTGTAATTTTTTTACGCCAACCGGCGGGATAGTATTTTTTGGCAATCACTACAGGGCCTCGCACTGTTCTGGGATCATTATCTCCGGCAATTTTTTCGATAATATTATGATTTTCAGTTACGCTCAAATTCCACCGAAAGTTTGAGGATTTGTTGTAAAGAAACAGATCAGTAAAAGCAAAATTTAATGTTGGTATCAATTAACAACAACAATAATAATAATTTTCTTTAGAATACCAGTATTCACCTATTCAGTAACAATTGTACTGATTACATAGTACTAATTGTTATGGTTGTTACTAGTTTACAGAAAATTGTACTATTGTTCTGTCTCTGGCTCGGTTTGTAAATTACTAGAAAGAATAAAAATGACACCAGCAACATTTGCAAGTTAATGCTCCTTATATTTAATATATTTCCGAAGACACATCAACTCGCATTTGAAATGAATCTGTTCTCTCTCTCGTTTATCATTTGTAAGTAAATAACAACATTAAAATATTCCAGGAAAATCTAGTACGCTTGCCATGACCAAGCTGTAAAGCTCCCCAAACCATGGGTCGCAGTAAGAGGCTTACCACGCCTTGGTAATTGCCTTTTCGACTTGAATAGTGGGTTAAAAGCGTCGTAGTTACTTCTCTGCTGGTTCTACTCATTTACCGAAGTAGTTTGCTCAACAGTATTACGTTACTAACTAATTTATTCAGATGCGCAGCGGGACGCAATAGCAGCTACGAGAGCCGCCCCTTTGCCGCTCCCGTCCCTGGAGAGTCGCAGCTCAAACTGTGGGTAGCAACAAATCGACGGTGTTGGTTGTTCCTCATTTCTAAATTCTAACAATGTCAGACGTTGAGACTATCGTATTTTCCACGTCTTTTAACACTAATAATTCGGTATCTAAAAGCCAACATTTAACAGGAACTGGATACGCCAAATTATTCTTACCTCATATAACTTCTTTAGATTGTTAGAGAAATGGCGACTTACGGTGTGGTCGGGAGCCATGTCTCCAATTAGTTTGATCATGAGCGGTCGGAAGCGCGGATGGAATTCGTAGAGCGACCCGTCTATCGCGATCACGACGTGAGGCCGCTCCATCTTCTGCAGCAAGGTTGCGGTCACTGGTGGAGTAAAATTTGTGTCAATATTGTTACCTGCCTCAAAAGAGAGTGCTAAATTATACGTTGTTATTGAAGATGAAACCTATGCTGGATTGTTTAATTATTCTCTCTGCAAGGTCGACATTTTTTCGATACTAATGGTTAAATACGAGTACGACTGAAGAGAAAAAGTATTGAGCTTTGATGTCTCCTTGTCACGAATTTTGTGGAAACTTCATTATGACTCGGTCAGCCTAACTTCGTACTAGTTTTCTCTGATTACTTATTCTAGCAATATTGATTATAGTCAACAGATATTAATATTCGTTCTCGTTTGGACGGTTTGGTGCTGTCTTACTAGAAGGCAGATAATTTTTCTAAATCTCCAACTAGTTCCTCTAAAAATACAAAAACTGCTTTGTCCGCATCGCCTACCAAACATAACCCTTCTTAACCAAGAACTTTTGGAAATTTGTAATAGATTTTCATTTGTAAAGTATTTGATGCCGTAGAAAATATTTGCTCAAATTATGTAATCATTTCTTGCTTAGCTCGCAGTTATACTAGAATGCTGTGACAATACTTCGAAGTTACCAAAGTAGATTCTTACACATAACAGCCTTTCATAGGGAGGAAAATCTAAAATTTTGTTGCTAAGGATATCGCAAACAGCAACCACTCCACAATTATGATTCTAATACAGTGAAATTAATTTTCAATGCATCTTATTATTCATTATAATAATAAATAATACAATTATAATATTACTATAATATAATAATAAATTTATAATATTGTAAATTAATTTTCATTACTTCTTGTAAAATAATCTTATTTTATAAGAAAACAAGACTCACAGACAGAGATGAGTACGACGCCTCTGTAGGAAAACAGCCCGGCCACGTACTGCGCGATTTTGACGTCCTTCTCCGTGTAACACAAACCCAAAGCTTGCAAAATCTCTTCAGTCTCCTTAACGCGACCAATTAGGCCTTCTCTGTTGAACACAAATTAACACCAACTCAGGGGGCGGACTATGAAGCATCATTTTCATCCGAATCGAGCTGATCTGACACTGACAGACGCACTTTTCTACAAAATAACAGCAGTTCAGTAATTGATTATATTTTTTACAGTCGAGCAAGATGACACTCGTGTGACGTACCTAAGAACCTTATTAAGCGTGTAATATTCAACTAATTGAAAGTTAGTCTTAATTTTAGGGACAAACCAACCCGTCTAGGGTGGAGACCTGGCTGGTGTGCAGGGAGCCGACAGTGCGGAGGGTCTCGGAAGGGCCCGTGCAGAACAAGCCTTCCTCAGCGAGCGTAACAAGGCATTCCCTCACTAGGTCACCCAGGCACTTCCCTCCGAAGTATTTCTCAAACCTGCCCAGTAGTCAGCGCAAGCTGCGTTAAATGCATCGTTGCAGTCGAGTCTCACCCTCGATTTGCATGCGCGTGTGACTTTTAAAAATTATTCTAATAATGAATGAGAAAAGGCGGTAATGGCGATTTTCGAGTTTAAAATTAAGCCAGACAAATGCAGTCAATCAACAGGTGGACCGTTTAAATGCCCCAGAACAAATTGGTCCTCGAAAAATGGCTGTCCGAATTGACGCCTGTAAAAATATCGGTTAAATGTATGTTTGGTAGCGCAACGCTGCAACGCAGTTGTGACTTATAATTTTAATATCTGCTGTGTATTATATTGCAGTGCGTTTTCGCCTGTAATTATATATTCAAATGTTCGTTCCAGTACTGTTTCACCAACCCTAACAAACGACCCGACTAAAGCACAGCTTAGATTTTTAGAGTCAGAAACTTTAAACGAATTAATCCTCACGTAAACGAGCCGGCCAAGAGAGACTTTCGGTCGACGCTGATGTCCCACTGAGTGCGCATGAAGTTCAGGACGCCATTGTCTCCGAACGCGCCCCACTCAACGTTCAAGACTTTCTAGAGTACATGACGAAATTTTAAATAATGGGGTTTCAAGGGATTCGCCAGGTTCACAAAAGATTATTCTAACCTCATTCATTCTTTTCAATGTTCAGATGTGGTTTATTTTAACAAGCATAAAACCTATATATAAAGCGATACTTTCAGACTTCCAGAGTAGCGGGTAGAATGGAAATCTATTTATTAAACCAAAGCGCCCGAGGAATGAAATATCGATAGTTTTCTCAATTGGGGGCAGCAATACGAACGACTACCACATTCCAGCATGAGTCTTGAAAATAGAAACTCGTAATTTAGGTCCTGAATGGTTATAATTTAGTTGAGCGTTCACTGACCAATTTGGTGGTATCGTTGCCGTTGCTCTGTTTCTTGAAGTTTTCGGGCTTCTCCACGTAGCAGCAGTTGCTGCCTGTCCCTAAGACGAGCCCCATTGCGCATTGATGATCTAAATACGCTCCACGGACCATAGTGCCTTCAGTGACAAGAACACTTCCATCAAATCAACATAAAAAAGGCCTAGTAGAACTATAAGTAGGAGGTAAGTGAAGTAAAAATAAAATATTTAAAAAAACTTTAAAAAAAACACGTTTTTCGTGTGGACTAAAAAGTAGAAAATAAATTATGGTTCGCCCCAAAAAAACGTGTGTCGGGCAGATTTATGATTAAAGCGAAAAGCACACAACACTTAAATTTTGGAAATTTGATGGTGAACGTACAGCCCGACCCACGTTTTTTTGGGGCGAACCCTAATTTATTTTCTACTTTTTAGTCCACACGAAAAACGTGGTTTTTTAAAAAGTTTTTTTTAATATTTTATTTTCTACTTTTTAGTCCACAAGAAAAACGATTAAGACTTGATTAAGTATGACTTGACGTACGTATCGATGATACGCAGCGTTAGCGCCTGCTCGTCTATAAAGTGAGCGCCCGAACGTCATACTATATATATACTTTACTCAATTAAACTAATTTCGGTCTCTAATTACTAGTTTTTATGATTGTATCTGAAATTGTTAGGCGAAAATAGCCTGCATGCCGAATTTCAGATCTCTAGAACAATCAGAAGTGGGCTAATTTTCGTTGTCAATGTTAACAACAAACAAATAAACAAACAAACAAACGCGAAGCTAAGCTAAGAAAAACATGTTAATTAATCTTACAATTTATGTTTCAGAAAAGGCTAAGTAATATGAGTTGATTTCAATTTGTTTTTTGATAATTAGTTTAAAAATATAAACAGGCGTAAAAAGAGCTTCGCTTTACTCACGTGTGAGTAAAAAATATCAATTAGTAACCAGAAAACAATAACTCTGAATCAGATGTATAATTAATCCATCTGTTTAGTGTCCGAGCATTCCTCAGAAAGTAAAGATTTTCTAAGGTTATTATTACCTGTAGTGTCATTTAGGATTGCTACGACTGCTATATTGTCGAGCTTGCGTCTCGCGAGGGCTTCTTCCAATAAAGCAACCACGTCCTGGCCCACGACGCCGGGGCAGTTGAAACTCTTGCTCCACTTGATGAGTTCTCCCGACCGCAGGCTACGGTGGTGGATCGGGAACGAAAATGTGAAACCTGAAACATCCAACACAGATATTATAAGTCGTTCATCAGCCAACGTGTTCGGTTGGAAGCAGTCAACAAACTAACGTAGAACATTACAAAAATCGGCGACAAGCCTTATCTTAACAATATGTCTCGCTTCAGAAGTAAAAATACTTCATTCCCCGGAGAGGTTTGGGTTGTATTCAATGTTCATTTCTAAAATAAATTGGTTATTACCAAACCCCTAGCAAACAGTTTAGCGGTGTCAGGAAAAACTAAGGCGTCTAAATTCAAAGAACCGACCGCAGCGAGAGGCTAGAACAGTATGGAAAAGTTACATTAAGTATTTACGCTTAGGGGACGTCGAAGAATGCCACGTTATATTATGTATTTTTATTACAATATCTATTCATCATGTATCATCAATTAAATCGAGCTAAAGGCATACAATTTTTAAACTAGTAGAATTTCTATAACAATACTTTCTGGATGTGAATTTTCAGCACATTGAGACAGTAGGTGATTTTTTCGACAACAAATTATTTCTGATTTCGCTTTAGATTGGTTATTTTGAGTTGGCACAACCTAAAATTCCTCTCTGAATTGATTCGAATAGAATAAGATATTATTTCAATTCTACTTTTGTGTTCGATATATCGTTATAATGTATTATACTTGACTGTAGGTTGCGCCGACTAGGACATTATTATAGCATGTAGTTAGGCCAATCGAGTCCAATTGTCGCACCCCTTGTAAGCAACACGCACCCCGCCTCACCCATGTTGTATTTATTGCTGTTGAGGTTGCGCTTCTTGAGGAAGCTTTCAACGCTGGATGCGAGGAAGTCGAAGAGAGCGCTGCCGTGACCGTAACGTATGCACTCGGGAACTGTGTAGTACTCGAGGATCTGTAGTGTGCAGGAATTCGTAGTATTTTACTAACAAATTAAGGGTTATACACACAGACCATGCAGGTATGGCAAACCCTGTAGGCACTACATATACATATTTGCAGTTAATAATTATTCAGATTCGCTCTGATATTTCTTTTCATTAGTGCCTGTAATTTAAAAGTTATAGAGGATGACCGACAGTTGCTTTCTCAATCAACACATTTAATCAAAATTAACTCTATCTTAAGACGAACACTTATAACCGTTATTCTGAACCATTCAGAAATGAATAAATAAGATTATTATTCTTTCAACCATCACTATTTTTTCACCGTCCACCCATTATTTGTCTTCCGTCCAATATTCTCTAGGTGTAGAATTTGATATCAAGTTAAGCAAAAGATCAAAGAATTTAGCGAAATCAACATAGAAAGACACGTGCATCATGAATATAAAATTAGGCACTCAGTCATCAGCAGCGCAGAACTCAAGGACATACAGTGGGGGGAAATAAATATTCGTACACTTGAAAAATCGTATTTTAATGTATGTAAGTACAAGAATACTTTTTTCACCCGAAAAGTGAACATGTTGCATTGTTTTTTGTTGCATTGAGATTTAATTTCTTTTGATAGTATTTTTGAATATTATGCGTCTATATACATAATTTAAATCACTTTTCCTGTTAAGTTTGTGTACTTACATACATTAAAATACGATTTTTCAAGTGTACGAATATTTATTTCCCCCCACTGTATACCAATAAAGGACGCTGAAAATTCACAGTAAAATTATGCAGCTTAGTCACCTCGTCAGTGACTTGGCCAGCCTTCAGGGTGATGAGCAGCACACGCAGGTTGGTGCCTCCCAAGTCCAGGGCAAGAAAATCTCCTTCTTCTGAAAATTAAGAATTATTTGGAGTTGAAGGCATTATTATGCTAAAACTGAGTTGAACTGATTATACATGAAGTAAAGTTAATTGAAGTAACCAGTTACAATTGCGTAAATTAGAGTGAGTTCAAAAATTTTCGATAAATGGAAAATTTGAAAGAGTATCTGACCACGGTTTTCAGGCGGAAGTGTGAAAAAATACATATCCTACTTTTGCTTAAAAATATTCGACGTTTCAGTCAAATCAGTATTATTATTATCATGACATATTATTTATAACCCGTTTTAGTCCCATGAGTGAATTTCGCTCTAAAGCAACTTCTTGGAACTCATCTACAATATGAAATAGAATATGGATACACGAAAACAATGGGAATTCTAAAACAAATTTCCCAACTAGCATGCCTTTATCAAGTAAATTAAATACATTGAGACCATAGCAGACCTTTGCCATTAGGCAGGTCGGGCAAGAACGTGTCTTCCATGAAGAGCGAGGAAGGTTCACTTGGCTTGCCCTCGAGACCACGCGCCATCTCCTGTACGAAGACCTCCTTTAGGTGCTCCCTGTGGCTCTCTCCCAGGACCAGGCACGACAGTCTCGATGTGATCTAGAAATTAAACAATAAATATAATGAACGGCTATAATTTAGCTTATTTTGAAAGAAGCTATAAACGGACGACAAAACAACTGAAAAAATGATGGTTACGACAAAAAAGATTGAGTCACTCAAAGTACATTTTGATGTTTGGTTGACAAAATGACGTCACCTCAGCGTTTAAATGACACATTAAAACTAAAGAGATTTCATACCTTACCGAGCATCGGCTACTTTTTAGAGGTTCTTTATTTTATTTATACCAGTGAAACGTCAACTCGACCACTTATCGACGCCATTTCAATGTCACGTGTGTAAGCTGGGATTCTTTTATTAACTTTTCAAGTGCAATTCTATAGGTAATAATTTGCATCATACGCCTAGTTTGCCCATTGAGCTCGTTAAAGTTTTTAGGCATTGACAAAAAAGTACGAGTATTTCCCGTAACAGCCGCAATATAGATTTATATAAATTTCGCGAGGAGCTGAAATTCCCATTAAAATTAAAAGATTGCCAGCATTAAGTGAGCTCCTAAAGTTTAGGTATGCGCTTAACGACACCAAACAATCTATCACTGATGAAATTTAACCTAACCTTGAATTAGAACTAAAAACTACAAATAAAAGGCAGACACACCATGGCTATAAAAAGAACCTGCTAGCCAGGCTTCATATACATAAGCTCACTTGAAGGTTACAACCAACTTTTGATGGCAATAGGATGCCGGGCTCGGGCGCCTGGCGCTTGGCAATGAGACGAGGCTCAATCGTGCTGCGCAGTTGTGCACTGTGGCAGCAGAGTTCATGGCTTATTGCTGTTTGGTTAATTAATCAGTGTTTAATCGGTTTGCACTCGTAATTAGGCTTTGTAAATTCAAAACGGAGGGATTAATTGCCTACCAGAAGTACGATTAAATATAAATTGCAGTAATATATGGACTCAATTTAAAGTCCAAAAATGTTTTGCCGTAAATTAAATCCAGGTTTTTATTTCAAAATTTAGCGACTTTGATTCCTATTTTCTGCATCAAATTTTATCTTATTTCAAGTCGCTTCGAATTTAGTAAATGACATAGCTCAACCTCAACTTCCGTACATGTTTTTCAGCAATTACAACCAATAAATAAATCAAACGCTCGATAATTAAGCTTGCATTTCTCGCCAGCAGCTCACCAGAAGCAGAACGCTGGGTGCGGCTTGCACGGCGAGCGTCTCTTAACTAGATCAGTTAAAGACACATTCATAAGGGATTTCGATGCGAAAACATCTTTTGTACGAGTACTTCACAACAACTACGATGGGTCGAATTCTTTATCTAGAGTTTAAACCTCCGAGCTGTGCGCGTTAGGCATCAGCCTCTACAGAACGTATGTGGGCATGACAACGTAGGTATACGTATATATATTTACCATAGTCAGTGGCTGTTAGGCAGTTTTTTAGGTTGAATATACGCATTTTTCCGCCTCAAGCCCAACCAAAATTAATAACATTTTTTACCAGTGTCGTTACAAATAGAGATCAGTTACCTTTTACAATATATAAATAATGGACTTAAAATCTTTAGCAATAAATAAATTAGGGATCTAAATTAAAGCTATAGGAGTCGTAAACAGGCATTTCATTTGTTCTGAATCAATATAAATATAACGTGGCTTGCAGTTATGTTATATAAGTCCGCTTTACTCTTCTTGGTGGAAGAACATATATTCTAAGTTACTTCAAGTATTTTTGCATTTATAGATAGTGGTACTAACGAATACTTACTTTTCCTGTTTTATGCAGCACAGCTAAAATTGCCCCTAGTTCCATGGCGGTTGAACAAATAATATAAAATTGTTTGATGTCAACGTGAGTTGTAGCCGATTCTAGACATCGTACAATTCTAACGCTTCCTGGGGTTTCGCACCCACAACTCACTTTTCAATTTTCATATTCTGAACAGTAACCGCTGAGAAATAATATACTATAACATTCCATACAATTTCCTTTTTAAAACAAATATTAAAATAACTTAAAGGTAGTGTTTCCAATTTCCATTAAAAGAAAAGATCGATAAAACTAAATATTAGATGCATGCTCGTTAATATTATATAATAAAAAATATTGTAACAAATAAAGACGAAAGTTCGCTATTTCATCCAATCTAATTTTCTAACACGGACCTCTTTTCGTCATCACGGTTCCATGTTCATACTGTAAGTCAGCCTTCATTATCATAAATTGCTGTTCACTCAATTTACTGGAAATACGAAAATTTTTTATCAAATTGCAAAATCAACTGGTCGTTTGTAAAGTTGATCATAAAATTAAAAAGAATCGCTTTTAAATTTCGCTAACAATTTTTCATTTGAAAAAATGAGCAAAATTAGCGGCTCACAGAACTCGAACTGCCGTTAACGGCCATGAGATATATCAATCATTCCAAAAAATTTCGCATTTCAAATGCCTCCATTATTACCAATAAAAACTCCCAAAATTACGAATTATCAGGCTCTTACAACTTCCGTGCAAAAATGAGGGCACCAAGAAGTAAGCGAAAAGAGCTAAGTAAAAAACATTTAAAAAGGTTTTTTCACCTAGTTTTGTGATCCATACCAATCGAGCAGCTCTTTTTTAACAATATAGTAAAGCAAAACACGGCGGATCGTTTCATTTACGTGAACTACTAAAACATTGAGCGGCTCTTCTCTTTTATTATACGGTATCGACGTAAAACAGTGACCGGTTCGTTTCCTTCGTCTATTCTAAGCAAAGCGAAACTGTGAGCAGTTGGTTTACTTCGTGTTAGCAAACCAAAACAATTACAAGGAGCGGCCATTTTACAGAAGTTTGGCAAAAAGAAATACTGAGCAGCTATTTTCATTCATAAATACCTAACCTTACCTACGCCTCTTGTCATAATAACGCACACGGGAAAAATGCTCATTGCTTACGCCAGATAATAGATCTCCATTACTCCTCGACTTACAGTACTTTTATATTGTAGCGTTCAGAGATTGTGCTACAGTAGGGCTCTATTATTTGTTAGATTCACCTTTTAGTGTTTTTGATTCTCAGATATGTGTTATCTTAAAGATTAAGGAGAAATATTTTTTTAAGTTATAACGTATTTCGCGAGCAAATTTGTTTTGAAATTTAGAACTTAGAACAAAAAATTTTATAAATAATTTAATTCAATCAATCGAAAATTCAATCAAGCACATCAATAAAAGATATTTCATCCTTACCCTTTTTTGAAGTTTAACATCGTCCAGCGTCAGAACGGGAAGTTCCAGGGGTGAGTTCGCCATTTCTGCCCTGTAAAAAATATAAAATGCTTTTTGAAGACTGAATGAAACGGGTTTTGAGAACAAATTGATCTTGTGAAGTTAAGAACTCGCAACGCAACTTCGTTTGTAAAATAAAATCGTGAAAACGACACTTTTCCTATTCTAACAGCGTTTTTAGCGCATTTTCTCATTTATGGAAAAAAGGCGCTATTGTGCTCGTCATGTCCGTCCGTCTGTCCGTCCGTCCGTCCGTCTGTCTGACCGTCCGTGACTTCACGATTTCGTCGACGAGAAAAGGCGCTTCTGTCACTCACTGCAGTGCGTACCGAGTTTTATTTTTAGATAGATAGAAACGAGAAAAATATCCATGCAGGGACGTTTGAAATCCAGATTGTAATAACAATTTTCTCAATCAAGCATACATGTATTAGTGAGATTAATATTTCATTATTTCATTCGGAGTATCAATAACTTCCAATAATAATTAATATACGATTATCTTGACTGTTTATTCGCTTGCTCATTTATCGTGCGAGATAAAGTCGCTATCTATCACTGACCTTCAGCACAGGTAAAATAGATTCCGTGTCGCGATTTATATACGTGCTGATGAGTTACTGCGCATGTACATACACTTCACAACCATATAAACATAAACTTTAGTTCACAACTGAAGCAACAACATTCAACCATTTTGAGCGACCGCGTTAAAAAAAGGAACGATCAAGCTGAGCTTGACCATAGAATGTGCAGCCAAAGATGCGGTCGAGTCTGAGTTAAAAATTGTCGATAGATGCAGGACATTCAAATATTTCCAATGAAACAATGCGAGATGCATTCCGTGGATCCTGCACTGCGGTAATCCAACTAATATCGATAGATAAATGAAGAATTCAATTAATATTGTAATTATTATTTCGAATTTGAAGAAAAATGTTAAATTTTCGATAAATTTAAAGGCAAAGGGTTGAGCGACAAAATGTTATTCTTCTCTGAAACATGTATGCAACTAGGAACCAAAGTTTAATAAAAGAAACGTGATTATTTTTGGCTGAGTGAACCATATACTTTCAGTACGCCAAAAGCCTTCATGACTCGAGGGAGACTCAACGCATACATCAACATTAAAAAGAAAAAAAAATAGAATGACAAGAGACCGTTCTTGCACCAGTGAAGCTTGGGAACAGTTTTTTATGACGCATTGAAAGCTCTCTCTTCAGCTAAAAATATCATGAAGCCAAAGATGCGGTCGAGTCTGAGTAAAAAATTGTGGATAAATGTGGGAATATTGGCTATGTGTCCTGCGTTCACACCCAGGGGTAAGGAAGCATCGTTATAACCAGTACTATTTTCCATCCAATCTATCAGTTCATTGGTGACCAAATGAATCAGAAATAACAGTATTGTTCATATATTATACAAGAACAATGTTAGCACGATTCTCAGGCCACGTGATAACCAAAGTTTCCTTAATATATATTGAAGAAAAAAAAACATGAATGTGCTCGGTTTTAGCAGCTTGTAGACATTTAAGAAAATTATCGCCGCTATAGATGCATGGTATCATGGATGTCAATCATTTGCCGGTGGGGCATTCGAGATAACAAATGTAAAGTTAATCTTAAATGAGTTCAATCTCGTGGGAGTTATTTATGCGTAACAACGGTACATGGCAGGTCCTCCTCTCATGCGGCCTCCCGAGCAATGCTCGGCAGCAATTTCAATCATGTTCATTAAATAGCCAGTTGCCATGGAACGGTTTCTCAGCTTTCTACTTTGGACTGCTCGTCCATAACATGCGTTGGATTACTTTTAACTGGAATAAAATAAGACGAGGCGTATTAAAAAAATGCATCGTTTGGATTTAGTTGAACAAAATAAGGGTTGGGGTGATTTCATTCATTTTCACGAGTGTTTGTTAGAACTTGGGTGGTACCGGCTATTGAAACTTAACAACTTTTCATGCTTACCAGTCGTTATGTTCATGACTTGTCGCAAATATTCGAAAAAAAACACTTAATAAATAAAGCTTGTGATGTTTTCGAAAAAACCGCAGGCGTCTTTTTAGGAAAGCGTTTAGGAAACCGTGATCCACGGAACTGTTCATGTGCAAGTTCTAAGTTCACAAACCCACTCGAAAAATAGAACACTGCACAGAGAGTCGCCTGTCGCACATTGGCCGGCCAAAGGGTAGAGTGACAGAAATAACAAGTCCTTCAATGGAAGCCAGCAATAAATATGAATGGCGAGAAGCAGGACAGAATCTAATCTCTAGCATGCAAGTCCTCATGCTTCACCATTCAATGCCTTAATGTACGAAAAATGCTCCCGTAACGTTATGGCATAGGAAAATACTAACAACACTCACTGCATGCCCTCGAATATGGTGGCACTGGCATCAGACGGTCTCTTTTTGTAACAGGAATTTTACACTAAAGAAATTAAACCGAAAGGTTCATACCACTATATGTATATATCAACACGAACTCTACAATTTTTATAATATTAAAAAATTTGGTCTATTTTTATGAAGATGTTTATACAGCAAGGCTGTCATCGAGATATTGATCCTAAATATTTTGAGCTTCGCCAATTGCTAGAAATACGGAACTTCTGTATCGCGTTGCAGAAAATTCGCGCTGAAAATATTTTTATATTTCCTATGTCAGTGCCTCGGGTGAACGCAAACAAATAACATGACCAGCCAGGATCTGCCAGCCTTCGCAACAGACCGTATCAGACGCTCGGTAAATCATTCCGTTTTGACTGCGGAAACAACGAATCGAAACAAGTCAAGCGGCAATGACTTCGGTGGGAAATTCGGTAGGGCATCAGAACAAGAAGAATTTTCGCCCATATTATTGAATGAATTAAACCCCTTGTTCATTTGAGATTGTCCGACTCGTAATAGCTGTTTTTGGAATAATTCCAGTCGTTTATATTTCCAGTATTGTGTAATAAAACATTAAAAAAACGGCCGGCCAATGCACGGCCAGACAAAATTTTACTAACTGAAATACTAGTCAGGACGTAAAATATTTTCATTCTCAAACGTACTTGTTTATTCTCCCAACCTGACACATAAGAATATAATTAATTAATTGCGCGATCAATACAGGAACGCGATAGCTGATTATCTACCGCTGGTAATTCCTCCATTCATCTTTACCTCTAGATAACAAATGATAACAGAGAGCCATTCAGTCGCGTGTTCAGCATAGGTTTGTGACAGACGCACGATATATACTTGTTCATATACACACGTAGCCGCCTTGAAATACCTGATAATGTAATCGAGAGCCTTATCGCCAAGGGCACAGAAATGCATCTTAAGAAAGGAGCGTGCTCGCACCTGGACAAGAACATCGGAGCGAGAATCCTTGCACCACAGATATAGTATGTAAGACCGGATTCAATTGATAGATAATCGCGTTCAAATGAAATGATGTACATTTTAAAAAGCACGTTTGAGATTGAGGTTTCCCATTAGAAGTTTGTATGTTAATAATGTTCACAGATTCACGTTTTCGCTCACATTTTTAGATTTTCCATCCTGTAATTCAAAGGGAAGGCTCCAAAATCAATCACTCACAATGGAATTCGTAAGTAACGAGTCTGCCGAATCCAATGTGAGAGTACACTCTAAACGGAGGGTTGTTTGCCTAGGCTTCAGTTTCAGAACCACCATGTAAGCAAGCTAGGGCTTTTGTTGAATGGGCCAACAATGAAAGCAACAGTGGAGGAACGCCTGTTGTTCAGAGGCTTGGTAGTGACGAGATCGGGGGGCGGGGTTAATGCTAGGCTACGCAGTATGCACCTCATCACTACGCATGCAGTTCTATTATTATCTATATAATATATTAGACATCTATCATATCATATGTTTACATTTATTATCTATATAATAGATTAGAACTTATAATCTAATGAAAATTATCAGGTTATAATCCTTTGGCAGAGTGGAACACTCGCAAAATCTAAGACATTAATTTAGCCGAAATGTCGTACGGCCTACCGCGAATACTAATTCTCGACCATGTATTCCAACAAAATTTCACAGATCATTGGAAGGAAATGTACGAATCAAAATTATATATTTCAATAATTCACTAAAGCCGATAACTGCCTTTAAGGAGTAAATTTAGTTAATTATTTTAAACGTTTGACTTTTGTCGAATTGGTTCAAAAGCTGACAGTTTAGTTTATCCATAAAAGAAGTAAAGACTAACTTACGTAGGTCGTAATTTTCTAATAAACGCTAACACCCCTGGCATTGGCTTTTGATTAAACTTATCGAAGCAGCCATGCATGTTTATGATAAACCTAATTATAATCCACAAATATTCCTTACTATTCTGCATAAATGGCAAATGATCCAGCCAGTTCTAAATGAACGAGCTGGTAACTGCGCAAAGGTAAATATTTAGTCGTGAAGCAATCGCAGAAAGCCTTGTGCCAGCCGGGCAACAGTCCATTGCTTAGTTCCCTAACTCGGTTTCTTCTATTCGCGTGATGCTTGGCGGAATAAAATACAGAAGCCCGCATCTAAAAACCTGTAAGCGATTCTAGTTGTTGAGAGCGCATTTACTAGGGAATTCATGGACAGTTGGACACGTCACAGACCAGCCCGAACGGCACAGTCAAACGCAGTTCTAGCAGTAATCAAGTCTACAGCTTAGTTCTTTCCAAATGTTTCATTTTGAAGGCTTGATGACGAGTTTAATATGGCATAATAAGCATGTAGGTAGCCCTGTCACAAGTGGGGTAAAAGTTCATATTATCGTTACATAAATTAACAAATTTTGTAATTATACAAACATTTTTATACGTGTAAATTCCATTCAACTTTTCAAATTAGGTATAACATTTAGGTATACAGAAATTAGCGAACGGTAAAATATTAACGTAATATTCATGTCGAATTACCTAGATTTCAGGTTTACGTTTTCTTTTAAAATAGGCTAGTTCAATTCACAGCTAATGAGTTTATGGAATGAACAAATGAAGTTTTCGAATTCACCCTGAAAGAACTTTAATCCTAAGAAATATCTTACCGAAACAGGAAGATGAATCACAGTTATCACACACTCCAAAACGCTGAGATGCTGAGCGAATTTTCTACTACCTTCTCCAACTGGGACACGCAAGCTACTGACGACACTCACGAGTCACGACAGTCACGACACTGCAGTGTTGCCAGGCTTTTCTTGGCGAGAATACCAGATTGCCTAACTAAAAATACCAGAAATATACAAAAAATTCTATTGTTCAAAAACCGACTGATACTTCCAAATTTAATGAAACTATTCGCCAGAAACGTTAGTTAGAAAAAGGAAAAAAAAATTATCTTATGCACTATGCATTTATCTGGCTTGACGATAATTAGCCAAATTGAACACATTATACTTTTTCCCTTTGTTTGGAATATTTTTACACTTTTCTTTTCCTGTGTTTAATTACAATTACATAGACACTTGTTCCTATTTTTATCACAGTGTGGCACTTCCCCTTCGCTAAACATGAGCAAGCCACGGAAACACGTCAGCCTCCTTTTGCTTATTTTCGTACATGCTTGTATTGCATTTACCTAACATTTCGGGTGTGAGCACTTGTTGCTGCTGAGCAGATAGTTTTTGGTCCGAATAAGGGACTCTAGTGCCTTAGTTGAAATTTTATTTCGTTGCTTGTTTATCACATCGGTGCATTATGAAAACACCTCACGAATGCATTGGTTGGAGACAGGTCAAAGTAGACAAGTGATGCTTGTCTACTACTACTACTTCCTACTTGTCAAAGTAGACAAGTAGGCAGCCAGTTCCATGAATGGATGATGATTTTTAAAATCAATGAAATATTGAATGACACCCCAGAATTCAAGTGGCACTCTAGAATTCAAACCCACCAAACAAAAATGGTGGCGCTTGCGTCGCGAGATCGGTTCGACAACCTCACTCGTCCTAGGCCATATCATCACTGATCAGTAATCAATCAAGGATCATCACTCTCGTGCTTATATTGCGCCAAGCACTTTTGATAAATGTTAACAATTAGATTGGGGTTATTTCATCATGGGGTAAACCTACGGTTCCAAAAATGGCGGGTAACCTCTAGTAGCGCCGCTCTGAAAGTAATCTATATAAACCACGCCTACGCTGGGCTGGAGGAAGTTCAACTTCGGAGGTGGAACTTAATGGCAGTAAATTTGCAGTAAGTCAGAAAATACCAGATTTAGGCAAATATACCAGATCTAAAATATTCATACTAGACACTTTCTGAAAACACCAGATTCGTGAAATCTGGTATAGAAATATACCATCTGGCAGTGCTGGACGACAGACGAGCTCTCTAGCTAAGCTGTGCAACAGCAAGCTCACGTCGGCGCCTCGGCCCTCGAGTCGTGACTGCAAAGAGACAAGCGTAGCCCATAAATACATGATACGGTATCCGCCATTATAGGAACTGTCCCTCTTCAGTGACTCAATATAACGTAAAATTTACGTTAATGCAGCTCCTACACGCTAAATATTATTGAGCGTTTTAGAACGATATTAAGGGGTTGCGCACAATATGCGAGATTTTCTGAATTTCTAAAATATGATGCGCTAAATGGAAGATATTGTGCAGTCTAGAGGCTGTATTGCGCAATATTATTCTCTGTGCGTCCGTAGCGGTCGTTCGAAGTGATTTTGTTGAGCGCATGTCCTTAGCATGGCGGCTGACAGAAACTTCTTGACTATTTTGAGCTTTACAGTGGTCTCATGGTATGTTTGATGCAAGATTTTACTAATCGTTCGAAAAATGGGAGCAGTACGAGACACTGATTGAAAGTAATCTCAGTTCATTCACTATATAATAACTTTCTTTTAGTTAACTATTCCGTCAAAAAAACAGTACCTGGACTAATTCTGTCTCTCTGCCAGTCTTCTTTTCTACGTATGTCACGAGTCAATTTCGCTCAAGGTGTTGACTGTTCGTACAATATGGTTGTACGTCTGGGGGTCGTGGTTGCGCAATATATTGCACAATCCGACAAAATGGCATCTATACGTTCAATAATAATGCGCAATCCAAAAATATTTCGGAATAAAATTGAGCGTCTAGGGGTCGCTTGAGAGAGAAATTTGAGGATAAGGAATACGTAATGTTGTCGCTCCATTAGAACACACAGACATCCTAATCATACTCCTAATGAATACAGGCGATAACGCAAAAATCGACCATAGCCTGTGAAGGCCGGTTGCCAGCCAGCGCTCGGACACTCTGAGGGCGAATTTTTTTAACGAATTTTTAGCGCTCACTTTCCAGGCATAACTTTGTATAATAGAAATCGATCTTGACTTAATTAACAACGAAGCTATTTATTCTCAATACACTCCTGCAAGCGTTGTCAGAATTTTATCTCCGCTTCGTTTTCACGATTCCCACTAAACGCCAAGTTAGGAATGCGTGCATAGGATGCATAACGCGAATTTATAGCAATAATCTGGTGTTCAGATTGCTCCTAAACATACTTCTAGATGTTAATCATGCTCAGGGTGTGTCATGCTACTACACTGAGCTTTAGCTTAATGGTATTGATGAAAAATAAAATATTATTGGCTCCGATATAATTCGATTTTTCAGTAGCAGATCACTCCATCAATTTATTTCATGCACTTTGGTACGTCGGTCGTCCAGGCCCGTGCTGTGTGGGACTTGAATTTCTTCATATTGAAACCATTCGTCTCCGACTTCTACCTATATCTTTCAGATGACTGTCGGGCGACGTGCAGACGACTGAATATGTTGCTTATATAATTGAATTTGTTCATCGATTTATCGTTGACTGTTTTTGAACTTTAAAAGATCACTGATAATCGTTTCATTATCGGGACAGCCCATGGCTGTTATGGCATATTTTATGGGTCATTAAAAAGTATATTAATGACCCCAGGAAGGCAAATTTTGAAAGTGCCTCGTAAAAAATTGAGCTATCGAATAAGGTGACGATCGTAAATCGCCGAAAAAAAAAACATTTTTTAAGGATGAAATAAGGGGGAAGTTTATGCTCATTAAGAATTTCGTAGATGCTGGACCAATATTTTAGCATATTAAAATTGAATTGAAGTAAGTCATCATGCAGCGGCAGAATAAACCATATCTTCTAAGCTGGCATATTTGACTGTTTTTGCGTTTACTGAATATTGCAGAGCAATGTAAAAATTATTAGATGAGAAGTGATGTGTTGGGATATTATGTCTCAAGTTCTCATAAAAGTCTAATTTTTCCATCTTCTTATTGCTCAGAAACGCCAATAACAGATAATTTAATGTCACGCATTAGCTTCAAGTGTTATAAATGGACGCTATAACACTTTTAGTAGGAAAACTTTATTTGGCTTGGATTCAACCGAGTACTCTCAAAATGTGTTCCTCAAAATTGAAATTCAAAAACGAAATTGTATTTTGAAAGTTGTCCATGGCATAAAATTACAATTTTGATGTCAATTCAATTGGTATCACTTAGACTAAATTCATTGTTTAATTCTGCAACAGATTCAGAAAATTACGTAAGATCGCGTAACTATTTTACATTTCTCACAAGGTTGTAATACGGGCCGAAGAACGCATGGTCGCTGAAGCCACATTAACCTACTTTACGACATTTGGCAGGCAGTAAGATTTCTTGATGTTCGTAAAATAACCGAGCTGAAAAAACCAGGTCACCGGCCAAGGAATTCCATCCCTAGGGAAAAGTTAGCCACTATCGACCCTCATACTAGGACCAGATAAGCAGCCTTTTTCGTTCTTCTCATGAATAAACGTATTCCCATCGGCTTCGGATACATCGGCTGGTCCCCGTATAAAAGCGCTCTCATTCTGAGACCAAGTCAGACTTGGTTGGGAAATCATCGGAAACGTCGTTCACTTGACAGAACTGCAGTGCGCGGTTATCTTCTGTACATGAACCGGTTTTTTGTAAACGCACTAGTATGCACTGAGGCTTAGAACATCAATCAATGGAAAGCACTAGGTTTATTTTTAACTTTTTGTAAAATAAACGCCATCAAAATTAGTTTACAGTTCTCACCATTCCATCCTGGTCTTGCATTATCAACACGATTTTATTCAATTAAATGTACTCACCGAAACCATATAATAAATTAGGATAGATTGGCATTTGCCGAGTAAAGCCTAAGCCACACCTCTGAAGAATATTCTAACTCACTTTGACTTGACAAAATAAAATGAGTTCAGGGCGCTCAAGAAGGCATACAGTTCCCGAAAAACAGACTACTCATCCAGCAGCCACCATGACACTCGCTGGACTAGGCTCCATCATCCTGAGCAGCGCTGCAGATCCATATCGCAAAGCCATAAATAACGATGATACTGAAAACTTGGCAAACAGTATTCAGAACTTAGTAGTATCATCAAGTTCACCAGACCTCGATACTTTTGATCTGAAGAAGCTTTACTGGAACTGTTTTATTCCTTCTGAATACTATGACACCTACTACACCAACCTCGACGAGGAAGTAGCTTTTTTTCTGGATTCGTACTCGACCACAGCTTGCGCAGGTAACCTTAACTTCTGAAATCTGAGGAAATTTGAAGCAAATAAACGAATTAAAGTGCATTTTCTTATCATACAACATAATACCGAACAGTGATTCATATTCTTAATTAGTATTATTACCAACAATTGAATGCTCATTTGATTCCACGACCAGACACTGCAGTTTATGTTCCTGCATGACACTGGTGTGACGGGTCTTTCAGCAGCAGTGGAATTTTAAAACACTCCTGCTCAACTGCTCAACTTGATGATTTATGAAACTGTTGATACTTTTTCAAGAATAATTATTGTAAAGAGCAGGAACCCGGTTTGATTTATCAGACGATGTATTGTTTAATTGATGAAAATTACATGATCACCGACATACGTATCTAGACAATCATATATGCCGCCAAATCCTTGTATGAATGAGTGTAAATTCTCCGACTTAGCTTATTTTCAGAGTGCCACTGCTATCACATTGCTTCTATAGGCTTTTAGAAAGTTTCTCTCACTTTTGATGCAGTCTTACGGGCAAGCTTCCTCCCGAGGGGAGGGTCCGTGACGGTCGCGGACATCGGGTGCGGCCCGGTGCCGATCTACGCCGCGGCAGCGACCGCGCATTTGGGTGCGCCTGCCCAGATCTGTCTGGCGGATATGCTACCCCAGAACAGGTAACCTGAAACCTTGCTTAATACAATCATAGGAACATAAAATTATAAGTAATACTGTTAGTGGTACCTTCACTCGGTCATAGAAATGTGACAGTACCACTAATACTGACACTGGTAGCAAGTCTCAGGCAGTCAAAGATATTTAATGGTACCACTGACACTGACACTGCGAAGTGCATCTTCGGTCAAACATACGGATGTGAACATTCAAAGATGCTGTCATCATTAGTCAATCATAAGAATGTGAAAGTATCACTGACACTTGAAATAAATACGTGGAATCGGAAAAGTGAAAACAGATTGAGGTCAATGCGTTTCGCACCATTTAAGTACAAATATTGGCTGTGATTCTAAACTTTGAAATTGAATCTTTAGAAACACCATAATAGTTCTTGAAATACAATAATTTTGATAATTGGCGTTTACGTATCAGTAATATGACCGATCTTCAGATATCACAGTGCAATAATCGAAAGTACTCGATAATCTGAGGAGCAAGGCAATAATAATTTTACTATACCTAAAACTAACTATACGGGCCTAAACACATGGAATTCACTTACGTGTTTACACCATGTAGCTTTCGCAATCAATGTCCATGCATATGCCTCTGTTTAGTCCGATAGCATCAACATCGGTATCAGAACCATTGATGATGGCTGAAGAGCCAGTACCATAGTAAGTGAGGGATGCAATATAATTTCCCCAATTGAAGTGTTTCATTTAGGCAAATCATTCTAATTCCAGACCAAAATAAATTTTGTATTGCATCGCAAATACGATCACAGGAGCCAAAAATCTGTTGGATTTTCTTGGCCATCTTTTGCTGCATGACATTTTTTAATCAATCATATAAAAATTTTCCCGAACTGAATTTGTCTCACTAGTGCGCTTTAACAAGAAGCGTAAACGTGGGCCACAACTCTCAACTAAGCACTGGACGGGAGATTATCATGCCTCTAGCGAATTAGATTACATGGTCAAATACCTCTTTGCATGCTTGTGCAAGGTGATGGTGTTAAGCGTGATGGTGGTTATGGTTGTGGCAGTAAAGTTGAACGGTCCGCGCGTCTAAAGGCCCGTTCACACTAGGGGCAACACACGAGAATCAAGTGTCTCAAAGCGCATGCAGAGGCGCTTTGCAGCCTCTGCATGCGCTTCTTGCCCGATTGACGAGCTAGCGATTGACAGGGGCCATGCCACATGCAACACAAGCGCGGCGCTTAGTAGATAGCTGTTAAAGAATTGATATCACTTGTATGCTTAAATCGCAAATTAACTAAGAATTTAAATTAAATTAAAAATTTAAATCAAAATAAAAATCTAAATTAATTAAATACAGAAATTCAATTCGTTCTATGGTTTCAATGTATTAATTTGTGCTTCTGATTTGCGATTCTAGATTCTACGAACTGACGATGGAGGGTCTACGAAACGTTTTCTATAAAGATATGAATTTTTGTGGACTATTCTTTGCTTTTTAATTCTTAGTTAGTAGATAGCTGTCTGTGGTCTAGTAAGGTTGATTGTGTACGCTGGTCCGGCACACCAAATCGCAAATGTCGACTAACACCACTCTCGTTTGGAGTCACTCTCTAGTAGAGCGCCTAATTGATCTTTAAACAGTGTTCCCCTTTGTCACAGGGTAGCCCTGCGGTGTTGGAGAACTGGGGAGTCCACAGCTTTGGACTGGTCAACATTTTTCGAGCGCATTGCAACGGCTTACCCCTCTGGGAGGTGGGTAGGGGCTTTAGTGCGATTCTTTTAAATGACACGAATATCTATATCACTGAAATCTTGGATGCTGAACAATGGACAGTAAAAAAATCAGCTAGAATTTTTTGACGCGACACCACAACAGCAATGATAAATTCTGGAACGTTCCAGGTCCGCACAAGATCTGATATCAGCGGCACGTCTCAACATCTACGAGATCCTGCCATGCGATGTCACTCGAGATCCTCTGTTGAACTCTCATCAACGGCAAGTGCATGAATATATCAATTAAGAGGGATATGTGTCTGATCACAGCTTATACACTATAACTTGTTCGATTTAGAAATGTACTGGAGGTTTTAAGGAATACTTAAAATTAAATACTCAATCACATTCTAGTCCCAGAAAATGCGCTGAAATTAATTTGTAATCCGCATGTCATAATCATTCAGATGAACATCGAGAAAAAAATGATGGTCTTAGTGTTTAAGATTGAATAATGAATATAATTACTCTCGATATTAGGTTCGATGTGGTCATGTCAACTCTGTGCTTGGAGTTCGCAACCTCCTCGGCTGAGGAGTACCGGGGCAGCGTGGCACGTCTGGCAAGCTTTGTCGCCGATGGAGGTTTTCTTTTCATGGCAGTAAGTATTTTTATCTATAGAGAGATCAGTGTAAAATACGCAGGAAATACGTAATATAAGTTTCGACAAAAAAATGCGGATGAGTTTTCTTAGAGGATAACCGAACACATCGGTTCCCACCTAAAAAAATAGTCCGATTGACCAAATGGAAAATGGATTATAGCCCACTACATGACGGACCAACCGAAATAAGACATGTTCAGAATATTGATATCCACTAGCCACAAGTTATAGAAATAACTTAAATATTCATTTAGGAATGTGTACATTTTGTTAACTTATGATCACAGGGAACTTATGATCACAGGGAGCACTGGATAACACGCACTATGTCCTGGGCACGAGCGACTACCCTTCCGTGGCGCTCTCTGAAGACACAGTGCGGGGAGCCATTGATGACTGCCGCCTGCAGTGCCTCGAGTTCAAGACGCTGCCCCGGACCACAGACCCTAAAACTAAGCCTGCAGATCATTCTGGCGTATTTTTCGTCGTCGCTAGGAAAGTAACGCATCAATGATTCGGTACAGCCTGAAAGTTTCCATCAACTCGATCGTCGTAAGTGGAGATTACTGCATTTGGACGTATATCTAAGCTGGTGAATAAATTATCTCGACACCAAACAAGAATAGGCAGGCGCCTAACATCTGAAGACTGCCACAAGATAATGTAAACTCACTGATTTCGTCAATTATATTTGGTAAGAAAAATAAATACAACAATTTGTTCATCGTAACAACAACAATAACAAAATCGTACTCCAGTCGACTACTGCCAGAACTTCGTACTGACTTACGATCAACTGAACAATTCGTTAAGCATATAATAATTAAATATCTCTTCTATCTACGTAGTTATTCAATATTTGGTTCAGTTTCTGCAGGAGAATATGATAAAGTTTTGGTTATCTAATAATTACAGTTCACAATAAATTTACTGAACACGCCGGTAATGCCTGACTTTAAAATGAATTTCCAAGACCGGAATTTTCTTGTAAAACAATTGAATATTTTAATTATTAACAAATTTAAAAATTAATTTAAAATTTAAAGCAATTAATTTTAAGAAAGATTTGTTAGCTTATCTTAAGAACTTCGAATTTACTTTGATCCTCGTTACCGATCATTTTGATTCTAAATTAAGTTAACCTAAATTAAAGAATATACCATAAAATTGTAGCATGAAGTGCATTATTAATAATAATCAATTATAATGGCATTGCTGCCATGGAAGAAGATATTCTCGAAGTAACAACTCGAGTTTTAAAATAAATTTTCTGGAAGTCAGTATTCACTCAGTTGAGAAAAAATCAAGCTAAGAATTTGCGCTAGAACCTAAAAAAATCATGTAAAAAATTCAATAAAAGCCACAACTTGAAAGATCATTGGTCAACAAATAAAATCCCATTATCATTTGATGAACCAATTAAAGAGTATTGCGATTGATCCCCAAACAACTAAAACCACTAAATTAAAAGTTAAAAAATATTGGGAAATTTAAGTTCGTTGACGAGACATTTTTGTCCGTTCCAATAAACTCGTAGAATAGTCTACTACTGAACGATGGATTAATTATGTTTCGCCTAAATTGCTTTAAAATCACTACAAAAATATAATGATTTATCGTATCATCTGAACCAACAACATTTTTTTTAATGTACACAAATTTTGTTCACATTTTTGAAGATAGCGAGATCAAGGGAACAGTCAAATGATAGAAATGTATTGCACATAAAGTGTTCGCCATTTTTCATACCATATTATCCCTGATTTAATGGATATTATGTTCCTGAGGAGCAGAAGAGTGGTGCTGGAAGTGAGAGGATTGCTGCTGACCGACTGGAGACTGTTGACCTGCGGGGAGTTGCTTTTGCTGGGCGACTCTTCTTCCCGGACCTCCCCCTCTTCGGTTGAAGCCTTGTAACATGCTGCGCATACCTCCCATCATCTGGTCCATGAGGCGGCGAAAGCTAAAAGCAGGGCCCCCTCGGGGAGGAGGTCTTCTCACTCCCTGACCACCGAATCCAGGGGCGTTGGGGGCATCTTCGTCGAGTTGTCTGGAGGGGGCGATCTCGTTGGTGTGAATCGCTGGGTCAATCGGTGGAGAGTTGCGGGAGGCTTGGTTGGGTCGAAAATTGGAACGGCGGCTGCTACTGCCAAAAGTCCTGCGAAATGTACAATATTTAAGGATCGTCATAGCGTTTTAAGATATTTACATCAATTTTCTTCATTGTGCAAGTGCACTCAAAACACTAGCGATTAGAAAAAACTCTCTTACCATGCAAACGCCTTGGCTTAGGTCTAAAAACAGATTAAGCTGTGAAGCGAATTTGCCAAGTTTACTAATTGAGAACAATCGCATTGAGGACTGTGGTTGAAACATCAGTTTTATATCTCGGGATTTCTAGTCTCACATAATAACCACGCACCATTTCGAGTCTTTCACACATCCGATCTAATTGGACAGTTGCTCAAAATGTGGCACAAACATGAAAACATGACAAAATTATAATTGTTATTGTTGTTTAAACTTAATAACAAGTGAAAATTATCATCACAAACCTCGAAAAGCCATTTCTGAGTCTGGAAGCCACAGAAGACATATCGCCCACTGCGCTGGCCATCATGTTTTGGATTCGGGCAATACCGGGGGCGGCTCCCTGGAACTGGGCGCTCACCGCGACCAAACTGGTGGCCATCGCCACGAAAGGCAGGATGGAGATACGCTGCACAGAGAAATGCGAATTTAGAGGTAATGCTGATAGCAATTCAAAAACATTGAAGCTACAAATGAAATGTGCATTAAAAGAACAAGTTAGTCATCTCTCAGGATTTCAACTAGCAAATTTGAAGCCTGATTTCGTGGATGCCATTACATATTGATTGATTTTGATCGACTCGTCAAAGGATCAATATCACCGCAATTAATTCCAATTTCATACCTAAAAACGGAACCTAGGCCACTATGAAGCGTCACAAAACAAGAGTTGAATCCCAAATAACTGTATAATTCCACTTCTCATAGATTAAAATTATAATTAAATTTCAATTTCACTTTCAATTTACTTCCAGATTCTAAAACAATAGTGCAACAGGGTATTTTTAAAATAAACATTTATATACGATTCGATACATGCAACAATTACAATTGTTCTTTGACTGAAGATTAAATAAACCATAAAGCTGTTGCCTGTTGGACAGGGTTTAAATATCGCGCAAATATTAATATAGCGGCTCTCCAAATGACTGATCGCACGAAATAATTTTAAGAATTAATTGGTGTACCAATAAAATCCAATTGTGAAAGTTTGATGGACATTAGTTAAAGAAAAACACTATTATATAAGATAGCATTCGAAAATTTTTATCCCAATTCAAAATCCTAGCGGCCTCGCTCTTCCGTTGTCGTGAATATGAACGTTTGAAATAAATACGGAATTGCCTTTTCTGAGTAACGGCCAGGTTCATATACTATATTTGAGGACATTTATTGTTTGTTTGTTTGTTTATTTAAATCCTGCCACAATAAACATTATTATTCTCGTAGGGCGTGTTGCCACGCAATGTCGATCGTATCGGGATACCACTATCGCATCGGGATCATTACGTTTACATTCCAAATAGGGATTGGGCTGAAAAATAGAAATATAATTAAATTTCGATTTACAAAAGCAATGTTCATAATAAATAAGAAATGTCAATTTTGTGCTAAATTTCCAAAATATTTTCAGTTAAGAAAGAGTTATTTGAGAAGTAAAAGTTTGAAAGAGTAACTCATCTGAACAATCATTATTTTAATTTTAAAATCACAATGATATGAATGGTTAGAGGAAGAGCTCCTCGGATCCCATGGTTTGATTTCATCAATGAGAAGCAACCCCGGCTTTATCTGATCACTGTTATTATAAGAGAGTAATTAAAGACAGTAACAAAATATCTACATGAAAACAGGGTACATGGTATTATGGATACATTATTGCTACCGACTCTGCACGCAACATCTGGTAATATTGTCCAGAATATAATTAAATATTCATGGCTTTAACTGAAATTATTGCGGTCTTGCAACGAAAATGTTCGGAAATGAGTTATCTTATGTCACCGCTTTTACGAAGAACCAAAGAACAGAAAGTTACTTTGAGAAAACGTAAATGTCGTAAAACATTGACGATAACAATGAAACCACAGGTTTTGCTCCGTCGTGAGTGATGTGGCGCACGCGAATTACTTCTCGTCCTTAAAAAGTGTAATTCTAAAATTCTTCAACCAAAAGCTTTTCTGAATAATAGAGTTTCTAAATAATAGAAAATAATTAACAAATAGAAATTTAATTTCTAATATCAATCTCACACAAGAAGTCAGTATAAAAATGATTAATTCGAGATATTATGCTTTGCAAAAAGATGCGTACTGTTCTGACTTAACACGATTCAGTTTTTAATAACTCATTCACTTATAAAACAGACCGTAAATGTTCTTAACAAAACTCTTCCAAAATTTGCGAAATTTAAATTAAGTCTACTGAATCATTCCATCCTTCTGACTTAGAAGTTCTGATAAATAAAGAAGTTCTTATATATTATTTCCGAATGCGGAATATTTTCAACACATTTAATATGGTGATGGCGTTCAGCTTATTTCTTTTCCATACGTCATCTACAGCCTCGGTGTAGGTAAATTTAGTCGGTTTCCGGTAGAACTTCATGCCTCGATAAAGGCCACAACTGAGTAGCGGCGGCTGAGAGGTGAAGCTACTGGAAAATTTTTCATTTTAGCTCGACTTTCTCTCTGTGGCTGTCGTTGTGCATCCTCCGTTAACAGGAACGAAGAGCTTCCATGCACACCTGCACAGGCGTCCAGTTTCTCTGCAATTTGTCGGTTAGGTGACTTTCTCACTTCGACAGGTGGTCTTAAGTTCAACTTCGAGTAATATTACGTCATGAAATTTCAATGATAAGTTTCTTTAGATTTGTACATTTTTCATTGTTATATGGTTGTGTTATTCGCAATATTTAGGTCAAATTCTTAAATTAGGGATCAATATTATCAATTATATTTCGCTAGTCATTAAATCTTCCAATTTTACTTGATTTGACTTGAGTGCATTCATAAATTTTTATTTCCTGTACGTCCTATTTCATGTTTTTTATTCAGCATGAATAGTTGTTTAAAAGAAAATGAGTTACCGCTACGTACATAGCACAAACCAATAGGAGCACCACAATTTTCTGGAAAAGGAATGCTAATATATAATTTGGAGATCTTGAACTTACGATAAACATCGAGCTTAGTGAACTATTATTATATAATATATACATAATTAAATATTAAATATTATATGAACTCTATATATTGCTTGTAATGTGTTGAAAACTTAGTCGCTTAAAATAAAATAAGCTCTTGATTGATAAGCATCGAGTTGAGTGAGACAGACAATGCAGAACTGGACAAAAATGACCACTTATCATGATCAGTAGCTACATCCGTTGACGCTCGAACAAAAATCCAGAAAACTGAAGTGATAAGCTCGTCAATAAAAACCAGCGTTAATCAGCCGAGGAAAATCAATAATAATGCGCAACGAAGTTTTGAAAGCACATTTTACAACAGTGATATACATAAGTCCAGCAACAAGGAATCGTGTAGAACTCAACAAGGAACAATGCATGACCGAGCGCGATGACATGCTCGACATGCTAGCAGACAACATATGGTTCAAGTTGACAGTTATGCGAGCATGCGGCCCACTGACCAACTTCTTCATCCCCGGCCTACATCATCGGCACGGAACTCATCGCCCTGCGTTGTGCAGTCTAAAAAACTAATCCGAATTCGAGAAAAAATTACAGAGGCCGAAGAAAGAGTCCACTTTCCTTACTGTAAACAGATAGATTGCATAATAACATTACTGCCCAGACGTGAAATTGCTTATAAATTTGTACATTAAATTCCTACCTCACAAGGTCTTCGAGTCATATCACTTCTATGAGTGACCCCAATAACTCTCCGGAAAAAATGAATTTAAGATAGAACGACAAATCTACAACTCAAACGATCGGCAAGATCTACTTCTACGCTTCTAAAATCGTTACGGTCTCTCGTTTAGGACGACCCAATTTTGAAGTTTCTCATGAGTTGTGGTTAGTTTGAGAGCTTTCACTCTTTACGGCAAAGTAAAGTCCACGTCACCACGTTCGACAGCACAAGAATCGAAACATCAATAACGGAGATTTGGACGGTCAAAGTAGCAATCCTCTACATTATTTCATCATCACAAGCAACCACAATATCGTTAAGGGAAATCGCCGTGTGAACTCAAATTAAATTGCATCAATAGCAATTGTTGGCACTAACAAATGAATCTCAAGTCGAAATAGATTGATGTGAAAGCACAACTGATGAGAATGCATTATTTTCAAGTAAACCATTGTGCTGGCAATGGTATTGATTGCAATTGATTGCAAGATAGATAATTGATTGATTGCAAGATGATACAATAAATATAAAGATAGGAGCATACTAAGTACAAAGCGAATATAAAGAAGAGAAACATAAGCAATAATTGTTTATGGCTTATTGAGTAATTTGAAGATTGTTTTCCTCGATATCTTTATGACATCCGAGAGTCATTTCCATTAATAATTTTCCAGTCAGCCCAAGAGCGTTCAGCTTATGATCATTTCATAAGAGCAACGCTATCATAAATGAGCAAACATGGCTGTGCCCATGCATTTACTATGACAACGAAAATTTATTATGGTGATCAAGGAGGCGAACATCCGTGTCTGAATAGGGGCTGAATGCTTTCTCGATTTCCAGCTGGAATGAAAGTGACTATATACGTGAAATGGAATTGCAGCAACTGACACTTCCGGCTTCCAAATGCAACCAGCTTTGAACGCGGAAGAAGAAAGCAACCAAAGGGAAACGATTGTGGCAACTGAAATTGCAGACCAGAATAGACAGGTGAGTATTTTTATTAGGATCCGGCGCCCAACTCGCTTGAATGGCAATTTTGGCTACGAATGCCAACGCCATATTTTACAGTTACGATGGTCTTTGTCCTGTAATTTTAGCGGACCTTTGTTTCCGGTTGTTTGTGCACAACAATTGTTTCAGCAAGTTTGAAAAATCACTGTACCATAGAATCTAAAGATATCAAAAAGTACGAATAATTGCGCACGACACGTTCACGCATATATTTACCAACGAGTTCAATATGACATTGGGAGGCAGAGTTTAGTTTCCGCTAAACCTGTCACTGTCACCGCATCACAATGTGGGGTGCAAGGTTTCCTGTCTACGCCGATGTCGCCCAGTAAATAAGTGGGGATTAGGAAGCCTTCGGCCTTTGTTTAAAAATGAGCATTCGCAGCTATAAATATCTATACTACAGAATATTCATACTTGTACTATTAGCGGCGGGATATTCGTAGACTGACATTTCCATAACATATAATGTCTGAGAATATGTGTACAACTATAAGCTCACTCACGCTTGGTAAATAAAGATAATTGCTTTGCTCAAATACCCTTCATTGTTTTGCGAGCCCAATGGAAAATTCCCCTTTCAAAAAGGTTTAGTATGCGCTAGAATTGTACTATGTTGGTAATATGCAACAATCAAAAGATGAAGTACACTTGTGAAGAGATGCCGCCTTTTTAGCGCATTTTCTCATTTATGGAAAAAATGCACTATTGTGCTCGCCATGTCCGTCGCCATGTC